ACAACGGAAACAAGTCACAACACAACGGAAACAAGTCACAACACAACAGAAACAAGTCGAAACACAACAAAATTAGCAAAACACAACGGAAACAAGCCACAACACAAAAAAATTAGCAAAACACAATGGAAACAAGCCACAACACAACAAAATTAGCACAACACAATGGAAACAAACCACAAAGTTAGCACAACATAATGGAAACAAGCCACAGCAACACAAAATTAGCACAACACAATGGAAACAAGCCGCAACACAACAAAATTAGCACAACACAATGGAAACAAGCCACAACACAGCAAAATTAGCACAACACAACGAAATAAGTCCTATGCGTTGTGCTGTGGCGATTTCATTTTGTTGTGGAAATTTCATTGTGTTGTTGACTATTGGGCCACCGTACCAGCCCACCTTTGAAAGAGAAATTGTGATTTAGCACCTAAAATGTACACTTCCTCTTATGCATTCATAATTTTTATAACCTGAAAACAAAATGCAACAGAACATATGGGTCTCTTTAAATTTTAAATATAAAAACATTTATAACATTATTAAGTAACAAGCAATTATTTTTTGGGGGGGGGAATTATTTTCAACACCTAAAATTAAGTCATCATTTACTCACCCTGGTCTGGTTCTAACTTTACACAACCTTCTTATATCCTAAAAAAATGTAACGCTTTAGCTCATTTATATAATGAGACTGGTGACCAACATCAATGTACCAAAGAATTGTCACATGGAACACAATTTTGTTTCTCCTTTAATAACAATCCTGAATTTGATGCAAAATTTGACATATATTTAACAACTTCCCCAAAACCCATAACAACTTTACTGTAAATGCATTCATGACCTTTTGACCTGACTCTGTCCAGGGCAACATGCAGCGCTGCAAGCTTGTGATGGATCAGGTGGCTGAAGCTCGCGACACCATGATGAAAGTACTGGACCATAAGGACAGAGTCCTGAAGCTGCTCAACAAGAACGGAACTCCCAAGAAGAGCACCAAATTAAAGCGCAAGGAGCGGGCATAGATGCCACTCCATGGTCTTAAGCTTTGTCCTTCAGCATAGTCGAACACAGGAATGCTCTTCAAAAGCTGGACCTGTCATGGTTTATCAGGTTGCTGTGCACAATCGTCTACTTACTTTTACAGTCTCAAAGAGAGCGAAAGACAGTCGTAAACCATCAAATTGTTTTTACAGGAACTGCTGCTTACTGTGGACTGTCAGACTGTCCATTGGGTATGAGGCAGCCTGGTTAACCAATGCAATACTTTTTTAAAAGTATTCCATTTTAGAAGAAACATTTTGTCTTATTTTTTTATTTTATTTTTTTAGTTGTAGAGGCAATGCTTTTTGGGTAATGGACCTTAAAGATCAGAAAGGTCATGTTTGCTAGATGTAACTTTTGTATTTAGTTTGAATCACACCAAGTACACACTGCGCACATTCTCACTGGAGTGTGCTAGCTTTCCATGTTTTGGTGCCTTGTAACATGGGTGAAACTGGGATTTTTTTATGTGCGTGAAATACAAAAGTTAAAGTTAATCGCTTCCCGATTAGCCAGAAATTAAAGGAACACTCCACTATTTTTGAAAATAGGCTCATTTTCCAACTCCCCTAGAGTTAAACAGTTGAGTTTTACCGTTTTCGAATCCATTCAGCCAATCTCCGGGTCTGGCGGTAGCACTTTTAGCTGTAGCTTAGCATAGATCATTGAATCTGATTAGACCGTTAGCATCTCGCTAGCTGGGGACTATTTTCAGGCGCTGGAAAAATATAGAAACTCTTTGGTCATTTTTGAGCGAGATGCTAACGGTCTAATCAGATTCAATGATCTATGCTAAGCTACAGCTAATAGTGCTACCGCCAGACCCGGAGATCGGCTGAATGGATTAGAAAACGGTAAAACTCAACTGTTTAACTCTAGGGGAGTTAGAAAATTAGCCTATTTTCAAAAATAGTGGAGTGTTCCTTTAAGTCCACACTGAAAATAATGTCTTGTACTAACCAGATATGATGCCCTCTAACCCTTCTAGTTTTTTTCATCACTGTAAACATTCAAGCTCTATAGTGACTGATGATAGTACAAAGCAGTGAAATGTGTACTTGAAAGAATCAGTATAATTATGTGAATTTATATTATAAGAATGTGTGGATTGTTTTATGTTTCAGTGTAAGAAAATTGCTCTTAATGGAAGTGACGTTGTTTTCACTGAGTCTTTTTTGTGCTGTTTTACAGATATAATGTTGTTCTGGGTTTGAATAATAATTTGGATGTTTTGTAAAAAAAAAATCCCGTTCTTTTATTTTTCTGTGGTTACTCTATTATGTGCTACTGCAGTAAAACTGGATACATTTACAAAGAATCTTTAGTAAGTACATTTGGTACTTAATGCACTTCACCAGACTTCGTAAATAAAAGAACTTAAGAAGTTAGATTTTAGATTTTGAATATAGTCACAGCTGTAGATGTTTTTATTCAAAGTGACTTGCGTTGCTTTCAAAGTATATTTGATTAGTTCTTGCTTTCCCTGGGAATCAAACCCATCACCTTTGTGTCGTTAGTGCCATTATGTACAATTTGAGATACAGGAAGTTGTTGGGGATCTTTTATTTATTTATTTTTTTCAACGAAACTGATGAAACGTGAGATATGCAGCAGGAAATCTGGCCTGCTCTTTCACTAGTACTCTTTTCATTATTGTTAGAACATTTTCCACATTGATCAAATATACGTATGTTTCTAATATTCTGAAGATGATAGTAAAATGTCTACCATTTTCAAAAATTACTTGGTAGTCTTTATGAATTACACTAAATCAAGGATGTTAGTAGACAGATTTGATGTTTCAAACAAGCTTAAAATAGCTTAGTATTATTTAAAAAATGTTATTAGTATTTCCTACAATGTGTAACAAATCAATGACTTTCTTGGTGTGAAAAAAAATATATTACAGTAAGCATTCCTGCGTTGATTGTGAGAGTCCAACAATTTTATCTCATCTTATTTCTTTCTGTAGTATAATGTAGGATATACATTTTAAAAAATCTCTATAAGGTTTATTCTGTTTATTCTTTATACTGTCCATGGTTCATTCTATTGACTCTGTTGAAAGAACCTGTTTTATAAACTGCCTGTGACCTGAAAACACCACACCACATAAACTCTAATCACTGTGAGTTCCTGCAATGAAGTTTAGTATTGCCCGATGGAAATATGACTTTCCAGAATGGCTCCACCCTGGGTAACTATGACACTATGCTATTTACAACTTGATTGCCCTCTTATGATCAGAGCTCAGCCCTCCGTATGTTGTCACGCGGGTCCAAAGGTTCTGCACTTTACTGTGAAAAAGAAAAAAGCATTATGTAAAACTGAAAATGTTCAGATTAGTAATATTGTATGTGTTTCTTCATGTGTCTTAGTTTTGTTCTGTAGATTGATATTTACATCACTAGTGTGTCTATGCAGACTGCCTTTCTGTTGCAATTTTACTAGCGTTTACTGTAAAATACATTGTATCTTGAAGCTTTATTTTCTTAATATTCTCTGGTGTGCTTTGTGGTATTTATACCATCTTCTAATAACAGCTTTTTTTCCTTTTTGTCCTGATTTGGAGTACATAGCTTCCTTGTGTTTTTCATTATGGATGTGGTAGTCAGGGTGCAAAGTCAAAGTATCATAAACACCTGTTGTTCCCGAGCAGGCACCTGAGGTAATTTCTTTTGACTGAACACTCACACTGTGGGGATCTGTTCTGGCTTCAAAGAAGAGCGACAAAAAATACTCATAGATCAGGAGACTTCATCAAATATCCACCAGTAAAGGTAGCTCACATTGGATTTCTTATGGTTTCAGTGGTTTGGTTTTGTTGTTTTGTTATACATAAATAGATGAAACTCTTGTATTGTACTTCAGGAAATGTGTACGTGTATGTTAGACGCCATTTTGCCTTTGTTCATAATCTCCACTAATGAATTTTTCTTGGCGAGATTTGATTCTAAAATGTATCCTTTGTTCTATTATTTAGGCTGGGGGACAAAAGGACTCAGTCATGGTGGTGTTAAGGAAGGTAAATTTGGATACGGAAATTACTGTGGCGTTACCATGATACTTTTTATTCTAGGTTAATTTTATATTAAATTATAGTTAACATGAATACAAATGAATGATCAAAATTGTATTCAGTAAACATACATGCAGTTTCTAGGCCTGTAATTTAGGACCTAGTGTTCAACAAACAAGATTAGAGATGATTAGATGTGATTTATTTGTATTTAATGTGTAAACCTGGACTGTATGGACTATAATGCCATAGATTTATCTAATCAGGATTTGTCCTTTAGTTTAGGGTTGAGCAAATATCGAAGTACAGGTACACACAATGCTGATGGTACCAATACCACGATTGTTTGATATATGTATGTATAAATAAAATGGTACAGCATAATTGCTGTAATCATACCATGGTACATGGTATTCCAAGTTAGGATAATAGGGCATTACCATGGTCCATGTTCAGGAAGTCAGCATAGTATGAACATTTTGTCTTAAAGAAGTTTTAAAGTCAAGTATACTATCATCAGTTCCTTTGTCTTTATTTAGCATACACAGTTATTAATGTTAACAGTTTAATTTAAAATATCGATCAACCACTTTAGGGAGACTATGTGTGGGTGGACTGCAGTGATGGGGTCCAAATCGGAGCTGAAGTCAGACTTTCAGACACTGGGCAACTTCAGCTCATCGACGATGAGGGAAAGGTAATATAAATGCAGGCATTCTTGGTTAACTGCTGCTTTTGACTGTAGAAGTGTAGCTGATGTCTTCTATGGCATGATTTCCAGGAGCACAAGATTAAAAAGGACAACTCCCTGAAGCCCATGCATCCCACCTCAGTGAACGGTGTGGATGATATGATAAGGCTGGGTGACCTAAATGAGGCTGGACTGTTACGGAACCTTCTAGTGCGCTACAAAGAAGGAGCAATCTATGTGAGTTTTTAACCGCCACTTTATGTTATGGATACATTTAAATATATGATTTAAAATACCAGTTTTCAAGATCTGTGAACCTAAAATGACCAAAATAGGGATTAAATTGTCCACTTAATTCACCAACTTCAGTTCATTCACCAACAGTTCTTTGCTCTTCCTGTTTAATAACAAGATTGTTTCTATAGAAACAGCCAGTTCCAAGTTTGACGAGCGGATCATATAGTTATACAACATTGACGTACACATTTTACAGTAAATCCAACATTCTGCCGTGAAGTCCAGCTATATTAAAGGACAGTTCGTGCACTGAGCAATTGCATACTGTAGATCTTATTATAAATGTATTATTTTTCCAACTGCAAAAGCTTAATAGGTTTTCATCTCAGGGACTTTCTATAATCTTTTTTAAAGACCTTGAAACAACTATTTTGTTTGTTTGTTTTGACAGACATACACAGGGTCGATTCTGGTGGCAGTGAACCCTTACCAGCTGCTGCCAATCTATACTCCAGAGCAGGTGGAGCAGTACACAGACCGGCGGTTGGGTGATCTCCCCCCGCATGTCTTTGCAATCGCAGACAGCTGTTTCTTCAACATGCGACGGAACCGCAAAGACCAGTGCTGCATCATTAGGTCTTTCAGTCATTCATACTTGGGAGAAACCGACATTTTGTAGTTAGGGTTAGGTTAGGATTTTCTGAGTTTTAAAATTTTGGTTGTGAAGAAAAATGGTAATGTCGTTGAAAACCCATTTAACTTTTTTTATCCTTGTCTTAATTTAATGATTTATTTATGTTAATGGTTTAATTCACACCCTAAAATGTTGATCAACCATTTTTAGGCTCCTTCAGTCATTCATACTTGGCTGAAACTGACATTTTGTAGTTTGATTTGAAAACTTTTTGGTTTTGTACAAAAATCTGACACAATTTACTCATGTCATTGCAAACCCATCTGACTTTCTTTATTCTTATCTTGATTTGACAATTTATTTACATTTACATTTATTCATTTAGCAGACACTTTTATCTGAAGCGACTTACAATTGGGGAATACATCAAGCGATTCATCTTAAAGAGGCAAATAGACAGGAAGTGCTTGTCATACCAAGTTTCAAGCATTGTTCAAATAAGTACAAGCTAGACAGAGAAAGATGAAAGAAAAAAAAAATTAGGATGAAGTCAGATAGTGACGAAAGAGGTGAGTTTTCAGCTGTCGCTTGAAAAATGTCAGGGAATCAGCATTCCAGATGATGGAAGAACATTCCAACAGCCCGGAACGGTAAACGAAAATGTTCTGGAAAGTGATTTTGTGCCTCTTTGTGATGGTACCACGAGGCGTCGCTCACTAGTGGATCTCAGACTTCTGGAGGGGATGTAGATTCGTAAGAGTGAGTGGAAGTAGGCGGGTGCTGAGCCTGAGGCTGTTCTATATGCAAGCATCAGTGTCTTGAACTTGATGTGAGACGTAACCGGCAGCCAGTGCAAGGAGATAAAGAGAGGTGTGACGTGGGCTCTTTTGGGCTCGTTAAAGACCAGTCGTGCCGCTGCATTCTGAATAATTTGTGAAGGTT